GGGGGGGGCGCCCAGGACCGGGCAGAGGAAGAGAGGGGGGAGAGGGGGAAGGAAGGAGGCAGCCCACCTTCACAGGTGAGCTGAAGGCGGAGGATTGGGAGGGGCTCCAGCCCTGAAGGGAGACGTGCAAATAAGGGGAGTTTGAGAGAACCTTCAGCCGGAAAGGTTTCTTGTTATTTTTTGGCAGAGCTTGGAAATATCCCCCTTTGGGGTGGGGGAACGACCACTCCCCAAATCCTCCAGCCAGCATGAGGATCAATCTTTCCATCATCCTATAGCCATGCACTGTATGGTAAAGATTTCTTTTTTAGAGTTGTATAGAGCATTGGTCCTCAACTTTGGGCCTCCAGATGTTCTTGGACTTCAACTCCCAGAAATCCTGGCCAGCAGAGGTGGTGGTAAAGGTTTCTGGGAGTTGCAGTCCAAGAATATCTGGAGGCCCAAAGTTGCGGACTACTGGTCTAGAGGACTCTTGAGATCTGTACTCTCAAACAGGAACATCACTTACCTTGATCTACCCTTCTTGTCCTTCACGGAGCTCAAGGCATGGTATGTGGGCCTTACAACCCTTTGAGGTAGGATAGGCTGAGAGAGAATGAATAGAAGCTCGGTCATGGCCCTGGGCCCCTCTTTTTAAAAATGGTTCCTCACTCTGTTTAGAAAGTTCCAGATGGACGAAAAGTGAGGGACAGGAAGAAGTGGGTGGACGTTATGGATTCCTTGAGGTTCTCTGGCCTGCTGCCCCCATTTTTAACCCCAGTAATTCAGTCTGGACAATATGATCCCTTTGGTAGAAATCGTAAAAGCTTAGCTGGACTTGCTTGGGCCCCAGGTAATACATGTGTGCTTGATAGAACCCAGTGTTGGCTCTAGTTTATTTAAAATTCACATTCTCTAGGCTTTGTGAGTGGTATAGATTCTCCTTTTGCAGTTTTTCTTCACAACAAGCCTGCAAAGTAGGTTAGCCTGAGAAATAGAGGCTGGTTCAAGATTGCCTACTGCACTTCAGGATGACATTGGATCTTGTAGTGAGGTCTTCTTGGTTCCATGTCAATAGCCACAATTATGATGTTACTTTTACTTCATTGGGTCTAGATCTGCCTAACTCTGCACAGGATTAGGCCATTTTTCAGTCACAGAACTCTTCAGGAAGCAGAAGGAGGAGTGATGTGAAAGTCAAAAGTTTGCATACTCCTACACTAACATGAGTCCGTTGACATCTGTTTATATGCTTTTGTATTTCCACTGGAGCCACCACTACCAAATGCACATTTTGAATATGAAATCTGTTTCACAGGTTTTTAAAAATCTATTTTTGAATCTCGTTGCCCCTCTGATTGTTTTGGAGTACAACTCCCATAGTGTCAATTCAGTAACGATGGAATTTGGGATTCTGAAACTTGTGGGTGGCACCAAATTGGGGAAAGCTGTTTTATTCTGTCCCCACAAATCCCTGTTTTGAACTAATTTTCATGACAGAGGGACTGAGCTTACCCAAGTCTGTCTGTGACATCATAACCCAGGTGGAAATTAAGTTTGGGTTTGGAGCATTAGCTCCGAACTCAGCTCCTTCTGCGTTACACCATTTTGGCAAACCCATTCTGATACATCTGTGTTTTGCGTATGTGTGTTACAGACTAGAGAGCCAAAATGAAAAGCACAAAAAAGGTAGGTGTCAATCATGTTTTTTTAAAAAAAAAACTCAATTATTTGTTTCAAGTATTTTTGAAAAGATGTCTTCATGTTTTAATCTGGGTTCTTGTTTTGTGTTTTGAATTATCTGAAGCAATTTGAAAACTGAAACTATAATCAGATAAAAAATAATTAAATACTGGAAACATCATTAAAAATAACGGCAAAAGTTTTAGAATCCAAGTTACAAAGTTCTGTCTTGAAACCCAGTGTGTGCATATACAGAATTGACAGGATGCAGAGAATACATATTGAGGATTTCTTTTAACTGGTTCCCCCAGAGGGAAATGAAAAGAATGTGGAGGATATATCAGGGGTCTCCTACCAACTCTCCTCACACTGAAGAAGCTACTTGGATGAGTAGCAAAACGTTTCAACCTAATAAGAAAGATCCAGTTGACATGACTCAACTTCCAGATAATCTCACCTGGATGATTGAGAATCTTCAAAGGTATATTGGTTGCTGTTGTTGAACTCTATATACACCTGCGATATTGCAGAGCATGACATGTCATTTGCTTTGATTGTCTGCGATGATATACTATGATGGTATATAGGAACATCCGTTGCTGCCCCGTTTACAGTTGTGTAATATCAGTGGACCTGTCATTATATTGATTCTGCATTTGTAAACACACTTATTTGTTCCCCCATTATGTTGCCTACAAGAGCAAATGGTTGAGTACCGAGAACTGGAATCAACCACATTGGGAGAGTTGCTGTCCACCCATGTTCTAGGTCCATGCTCAGTCTTCAAGGAACAGCAGTGGGCGAGGTGAGGCTCGGTCTCCCATTAGGGAAGTGCTCCAAGTGTCAGATGCTGGGAAGCAACAGTGATAGAAAATGGAGCCTGTATAGACCACAGTTTCTCCTGCGCCTTCTGAACTGACATGTCACTCCTCAGGTACAATGAGGGATTATCCCCTCACCAGTAGAGATAGTTCACCTCCAGAACCGCTGGATAGCTCAGCAGTTTAGGCAGAGTTGGGGAGTCCAATTCCCTAACACTCCTCAGGTACAATGAGGGATTATCCCGTCACCAGTAGAGATAGTTCACGTCCAGAACCGCTGGATAGGTCAGCAGTTTAGGCAGAGTTGGGGAGTTCAATTCCCTACTGTTCCTCCTTGAGAAGGGCTGGATCCATAAGGTCCCTTCCAGCTCTGCAGTTCAAAGGTCATTGTTGTTGTTGTGATTGGGAGTAGCAGCGGTGTGCATGACTATCCTGCTCCTTGCCCATGTCAGCCGATCGTCTTGGTCCAGTTTCTCTTATGTTCTGTTCTGGGTTTCTGGAGAGTACATCTGTTTGGCCAGTATTGAAAATAGGGGCCAGGCCTGGAAAAAGATAGGCCTTGAGCCTGATCCAGTCAGACTCATTTCATAAAGACAGTGAAGTCTCCCTGCTCCTACCGGCCTTGAGCCTGATCCAGTCAGACTCATTTTATAACGTCAAATAGTGAAGTCTCTCTGTTCCCACCATCATCCTTTGAGGCCACTGTCTGTGCTGCAGTGAATGAAACGTTCATAAAGTCATTTAATTTTTCAGATGGAAAGTATCTGCAATCCAGTTCTGACCCATTTTGGCACTTCTGAGAAGGAAGATAAAGGCTTGTATGTCAACGATAAAAGCTTCACATAGAGCTAAAAACACGGAGTTGCCGTCCCACCAGCAGGAAGGCAAGATCAGGACAAGAGGTCATTAGAGAAGGAAATGAGGGTTCAGAGTGAGAGTAGGGACAACCTATGGCCCTCCAGATTTTTGTTCTCCGGCTCCCGTCAGCCTCACCTGTCATATGTCTTGATGAGAAACTCATGAGAGCTGTAAACAAAAGCATCTGGACTGCACAAGTTCCTTATCCCTAGTTCAGGGGCCAAGTGGCTGAAGGACTTTCATGATGGCTGCTCCCAAACTTTGGAACTCTATGCAAAGACAGAGTAGACTCCCTGTTGTCTTTCTGACGGCAGGTGAAGAACTTTTCCTCCAAGAGAGCTTCTAATATCCAACAAACTTCTACTATCCAACAAACAGCAACAGAGCATGGACTGAGTTCCTACTCCAGTCCTCTGAAAATGCCGGCCACAGAGACTGGCGAAACGTCAGGAACAGCAACCTTCAGAACACGGCCAAAGAGCCCAAAAAACTCACAACAACCATCAGAGCTTCTAATGATTGCTTATCTGCTGAGGACAAGCCATGTCACCCACTCGGGTCCTGTATTTTCTTAATGATGTGTTTTTAAATTGTGTTTTTAATTATAATTTTGATTTAATTCAATTTTAATGATTGGTCTTCTATTATGTTATGCATTCTATTCTTCTCTTTCTCCATATTCCTATTTGGACAAGGTGGTGGTAGAAATCAATCGATAAAATAAATGAGGAAGGGGATGAAATAGTTCACAGTTGCCAAAAAGCAGTAATTTGAGGGAGAAATGGGAAAAGGTGGGGGAAGAGAAAAGTTTGGTGGAATGAGGGACAACAGGGGCAGCTAGAAGAAAATCCTCACATAGAGCTGAGGAAGGGACTAGGAGATTTATACTGCTGACAGAAGGGATTAAATAGGAAGAAGGTGAGTGGATATGGCTAAGAAAAGAGGCGAAAGAGAAAGAGGAAAGAAGGTTGTTTTAAATGAAGAAGAGATATTTTGGGCTATAGATGGTAGTAATCATAAGTTCATCATGCAGTCATCTTTTGTTGACGTTAAGCTCTCCTCATGCCACATGTTCCCACGGCATGGAGTCTACTCCAGTTGCCATACATTCCAGGAGTTCCCAAGCTTTGCGTTGCTCGGCAAATGACATCGCACAAAGGGCTGACTCAATATCTGTCAGGAAATAAGAAGAAAATTAAAGGCTTCCTGCCTTGCCTCACGTGAACTGGGACCCGTTGTGGTGTGCAGGTGAGTCTCTGAGAAGAGGCCTCAGGGGACAAGAAAAGAAAGGGGCAGGTGCCTCTGTAAGTAGCTGCTGTTTCAGGGCTGTGAGGAGGTGTGGCTTCCTACATGGTTTGCCAGACAGGTGCATAGACAGGTTCATGCTTAAGAGCAGTGGGGAGTAGTGAATGGAGCGTTGGCTAGAGAGAAAACCTCAGATCGAATTCCTATTTGGCCATGAATTTTACAGAAGTAAAAAATAACACAACCCCATTCCTCCCCGACAACCACCAGCAGCAAACTGATACTTGTTAAAAAGTTGTCATTTGTGCTCCTCATGGTGCCACATTGCATAACTGGTGCGCCACGAGGAACATGAACAATTTCCTCGAT